CAAGGGGGCGTGGCCAGAGGAGGAGGCAAGGGGGGGCGCCTTTTTTATTTGCTCCCCCTCCTCTTAGAAGCTGGCTACGCCACTGGAGAGAACCCGGGGCTGAGAAGGAAGGAGGCTGTAAGTTGGGACTGAGGGGCAGTGAACAGAGCTGTGTGTGGGGGCAGGGGGGAGGCCCAATGCTGGAATAGTAGGCCGGGATGTGGATTGGGACCGAAGAGCATTGGGATAGCTGTGGGGGGAGCCCAGGCATGGAATAGCAGGGCAGGCTGCAGGACTAGATTGAGAGGCGTTGGCAGAGCTGTGTGTGTGTCAGGAGACATGGACTGCAATTGCTGAACGGGTACGGGAGGACATAGGGTAGGGGGATTAGACATAGAAGAGTGGTTGCTGCAGGGCAGGAAAGAGATGCACCCAACTGGGTGGGAATGGACTCTGCTTGAACCCACTGGTCTTGTAAGGTGTGGCTTTGTCTATCTCTGTCTTTGCAACAGCAGATCCACAGTCAGCAATGGGACCCCATAAATCTGCATGTCCTACCTGTCCTCCTGCCCTCTTTTGATTCTTGTGCTATTAATTAGTTCCTGCCCTTGTTGCTGATCACACAAGCTGCCGACTGTAGGAGCTGTGGTGGGAGGGGATAGTTTTCCTGGAGTTCCTGCAGCTGCAGTACACCCTGACTCCATCTAAACACCCTCTCTCAGGTCTGAGGGTCCCCTAGCACTGCTGATCCTCATTGCATTCTCCAGTGAGCCCTTTGAGTGAACAACAGCAGCGATTGCCATGTAGGGCTCTCTCCTATCCTACATTGGATAAGATTTCCCCACGTGGAGGACTTCAGGATAACAACACACTTCAGTCTGATAAAACATCATTATCTGGTGACCTTGTCTCATGGAATCATAGAATCATAGACTATCAGGGTTGGAAGGGACCTCAGGAGGTCATCTAGTCCATTATGCCATTTGGAGGCTGGTGATGGGAATGCATTGTGCAAAGGGGACATACTGTTGTGACATTGTAGTTCTAGTGAATTTATCTACCCCCATCAGTTTTGCACCAGTCTGCCTAGTATCATGGCACCAGGGCCAAAATTATCCCAAAACACCCAATAATTTGGAGCATCTCCAATTTTGGATGCCCAGTTTGTGTCCCTGATTTTCAGAGGCAATGGACACTGCAGTTCTCATGGAATTCAAGCAGAGATGGAGGTGGAAAACCAGGCCCCATGTATCTCAAGTTGAGCACCCAAAACCTGGAAGCACGAAAATTGAATGGACGCATTGGAGAGTGACATTATGAGGGTGCCGTGTCCTGACGTGATCACCCTTGAGTTGCATCGTGGTGATGTTGAGCTGGGTTTTGTTCCATGACCTCACGTCACATGGGGGTTTGGCAAGATCTCAGCTTTCAATGCTGCCCCATGGTGACGTTACACTGCAACACAGTGTCACGGCCGTGGTTACTGGTGACATGCTGTGACATCATGATGGAGGGTTATGACTGGCATTGTGATGCAGTTGTGCTGCATCATGACTATGTTATGAACGTCACCACGGCAACCTCTGACTACCCCAGAGGACAACACTGAAATAGGGTCATCATTACCATCCAGAAACTCCAGGCAGGAGAGAAAGCTACTAACAAGGATTATACTTTGTGCCTTTCATTCAAAGATCTCAAAGCCCTTTACAGAAGTAGGTGACTGTTATTAGCCTCCTTTTACAAACGGTGAAACTGAGACACAGAGAGGCTAAGTGACTTCCCCAAGGCCACACAATGAGTTTGCATCAGAGCTGGGAACAGATGGATATTGGACCTGCTAGAGCCAATGTTACCTGTGTGGGGTAAAGGGATACTTCCTGTGTATAGGACATTCTCCTTTCTCTCATCTACTTGTTTCTCATTGCAGATTCCCAGCTGGCCGAGTGCCGTGCCCCACCCGAGGTGGAGGGAGCCCCCTTGTTCTCACTGACAGAGGAGAGTTTTAAGGCCTGCCACTTGACCTTGACGTTGGACGATTATCTCTTCATTGCCTTCGTGGGCTTCGTGGTCTCTATTGCCTCCGTGGCCACCAATTTCCTGCTGGGCATCACTGCCAACTGCTGTCACCGCTGGAGCAAGGCCAGCGAGGATGAGGAGATATAGGCGCACGCTCCTGGCCACAGTGCCCTTCCCCCAACGGCTGGGGAGATGCCGTTGAGAGCTGGGGCTGGCTGGCTGTGCTCCACCACGATTCATGCCTGGTGCTGTCACAAGCTGCTCCATCCTCTATCCGCAGCTGCAGCCGGCTGGGGATACTAACTCATCTCTGATCCCAGTCCCTTCTGATCCCCCAGTTGCTGTGCCCAGCGGGGCAAGGCCTGTGAGGCAAGGAGATCTAGCCGTGCCTTGTATTAGCCTCTTCACACTGCCGGCGGCATTGGAGACAGCCAACGAGCCAAGGCCCAACGCCACTCGCAACACGGATGGGCTGCCAGAACCCATGTCAGTCGCCAGTTCTCCTCTTCACCATGTTCTGCACACTCATACGCAAAATCCACCTCCGCACATGCACCCCCTTCTGTGCCAGCTCTTGCACCACATCTCACTAGCAGCCTAAAACGAGGAGGTGGGCGGGGGAAGGGAATATATATGGCAAACGTCAAGTGGATTTGCAACAGCCGTAGCTCTCCAGGGTTGGACAGCTACAGCCCATCAGGTCTGTTTGCGGCTGTAGGGACTGTGGCCAGGGACACTGTGGTATCCAGAGTTGTAGCACTAATACGAGGCCTGTGACGTGGCATCTCTGAGGGCCAGAAAGGCAGGTTTAACTCTGAGGAATGGCCCCATCACTGAGACGTACCATTGTTTGGTTGGAGGAGATGTCAGAGCAAAGGTCTGCTGTTTTCTAATTGGTCCTTGGCTAGATGGCCATTGGTGTTGAGGGAGATCTGCCTGTGCATGGTTCTCTAGATGCAGAGTTGAGTTGAGAAGTCAATAGGTCAAGGGGACTCTAGAGTTTGAACTTGGTCAGTCACTCAAGACTAAGGGTCAGGGCAGGGGTGAGGTGTACTGGCAAACCTGAGGGGGAAGTATGAGATGGAGTAACAGGGCGGGTTAGGACTGAAGGATGTCAGCAGAACTGGTGGGGGACCCCAAGGCTGGGACAGCAGGGGGCCGTGGGTTGGGATTGAGGCACGTTAACAGAGCTGTGGATGAAAGGTATCAGCAAAGCTGAGGGTTGGGGGGAGACCAGCACTGGGACAGCAGAGGGCTGCAGGTCAGGCCTGATGGGCATCACCAGAGCAGTGTGTGAACGGGAAGCCCAGGAGTGGAATAGCAGGGGGACTATAGGTCAGGATAGAAGGGGA